GTCAACCGGATGATTCTGAAAAAAATTCCCGAAAAAAAATGAAAAAATTCCCACATTAAAAGCGTACCCGATAAATATCATGGAAGTTTGGAAGTTCTAGATTGGAAGTTCTAGATATATCATGATATATCTGATATATCCTCCACCCGATTTTTCACTTGGGATGCTTCCTTGGGTGGAGGCGATGTTTCCGGAGACCTCGGTGTGCGGGCGCTCGATGCAGACCCAGACCCTGTGGCCAGACCGTGCCTAGGAGGTTCAGCTGGTCGAGGGTTCAGCTGGTCTCAGGAGTTCTTAGGACATGTTCCAACATGTTTGAATCCATTTTTTTCAGTTATTTTCACCTTTTTCTAACCCATCTTTTGAGGAAAACACGAGTTTCGATTCTCCAGTTCCATCGTGCCTGTCCAAGTGTGCCGAACACATTTTTTCGGAGTCTGAAGACTGGAAAAGACCGGGGCACCTCCTTTTCTGCAAGTCCCTGAGCCCGATCGGCCCACGCCGACGAGGTCCGATGCTTTGATCGGCTATGAGGCGGCCAAGCCCCAGATGCTGGAGGACCCAGGTCGACCCAGTTGTGGCCCCTGCAGGAGACCGTGAGTTGTCACTGAGACCGTGGCTACGCAGACAGGTTTGTCTTCCATGTGAGCTGGGTGGCACAGTAGTGAGAGGTGAGCTGTGGCTGTTTGTGATGTTGGTGTCGAGAAGAGTTTTCCTTAGTTTTTGCTGTAAAGCTGCAGAGGGTTGGCGACAAGAAATGTCCTCGGACCTTCTGGGTCCCAAATCATGAAGCCACGGCAGAGGGATTCATGGGGAATCGAAGCCAGTTTCCTTTCGGGTGCGCAGCTGTGATGAAGCGGTGATTGATTTTTTCATTCCTGACTTCCGCCAAGAACCAAAGCTTGCTCAGCAACGGAACAACTAGGATGTTCGGGTAGATTTGACTTTCTTTAATGCTCACAACCATGCGGTACATTTGGATCGTATTTCATCGTATTTCTACATTCTCCGTGCCTATGTTCAACTGAACCCCCCCAAGCAATAGAGACTAATAGAGACCCTCCCAAAGTCATCCTCTTTCAACCTGCGCCAGCGAGGGTGAGCTTTCAGCAGCAGCAGCTCTACAAGAGCAAGGCGACCACTGTGGCCGAGCCGAAGAGGTTTTGCATTGGAAGATCCGGAGACCTCAGCCATCCATCCATCCATCCATCCACCCTTCCTTCATTCGTTCGTTCATTCCTTGCATCCTCCCAGCCTGTCCCTTCCTTTGGCAACTGATGTGGTAATCTGAGGTGCGTTTGGGGATAGAGCTGATGAGAGGTTGCTTGGGTGCGGCGAAACAGAACTGTCTTCTCGGAAAAACACCCCTCAGCATTGGTTCCAATGCAAAACCGACTCTTGTTGGCAACCCCCTGTACAAATCACACGACTTGGGAGTCTGGTTGAACCGAAGGGTCCGCGATGGGTCTCCACCGCTCACGGGACCCGTGTGACCCGCTGAAGAGCCGATCCGTGGAGGCCTCAGAAGCTCTATCCCTGGCCAAGGCAGCGATAGAACTGGAAAAAAGGGAGAAGGAAACAAGGTGTGAGTCAATGTGTGAGTCAGGAAACAAGGTCTCACCTTTCTACGTAGATTGGACATCAGAAGCAGAAGGTTGGACATCAGAAGCAGAAGGCTTCCACCAATGAGATCAGTGACATGGCACTGAGTGGAACTGCCAGGTCCTGAACTCCAAGAGCTTGTTCCATTTTGTTCCACCCTGCCCGCTCTGTACCGTTTCCGAGCTCGCCGTCCGTCCCCATCGCACCCGGTGCGATGTCGGGTGGAGCTTCCTGGACAGGAAGCCTTGGTGTCGTTCCGCCGGGCGGGGGAGTCCAAGAAGAAGGTCTCCGCCTTGAAGCTGGCACGGAGCCCCATGACCGTCATGGCATCATGATGCCCTTGCTCCTCGTAGTTTACGGCCAGGAGCTACGTTCGTAGACTCGTCGCATGCTTTTGCATAGGTTCGTAGCGATGCCCTACGAGTTACGTGCGATCTCGCGGGCCTCAACAGGTTCGACAGATCACACGAGTCCGAGAGACTCGAGTACTTTCCTGGTACCTATCGGTACCTGCTACTATGGAACGAGGGGAGGATGGTGGGAAGCGTTGCGAAAAGCACTGCTGAGACCCCGAGTCGTATTGCCCAAGAACGAAGGGTTTTTGGCGGTTTTGGGTTCTAGCAGCTGTGGCACGTGGCGGGTAGAGATAGCAGCTAGCAATGGTCATTTGAAGCATTTGGAGGTTCCCATCGAGGAGCCTCTAGCTGCTGAGGTGGTTGATGCGAACATGGCAATGGAGAGAAATTTTGATGCTATGATGGCAGCGCTGTCCCTAAGTGATCTCACAGCTCAGCCACAGCATTGGAATCAACCTTTTTGTTTTAAAATGCAGATAGGGGATCTCAGTTTACGTTTTCTTCTTGTCAGGGGTCAATTCCAGACTTGCCAATGTCTTCCAAGCCAGTTAAATCTGACCAGCTCCATGCCCCCACTCCTAGAGTCAAGGCCAGTGACGAGCTAGCGATGATCAAGCGTACAGGAGACAAGCAGGCGAGAGATGGCGAGACGACCTTGGAGCAATCCGGCTGGGCCATTTGTTTTGGGCTCCGCAGCCGACTGTTGTGGAGGACAACTGAGAAACATGTATGCAACAGGCGCCCCTTGCGCATCCGTCAGCCTCAAATCGTCGCCAGGCAGAGGTTGACGTCTCTGAGATGTTAGCTGAGGCACCTTGGATCAAAGTATAATGTGCTTTCGGTTTCGGCTCTGAATCTCTTTGGCTTCAACATGTTGGGTCAACGGGGGGTTTGCCCCGACGGCAAGCAAACGTTTCCGACCAGCGAACAGGGTTTTCCGGCGGGGGGTTGGGGGGGCTGGGGACAGTTTCGTTCGTGTTATATACTGGTTGCGCAAACCAAACATCGCGTTTCTGGACCGACGTCGTCACGCAACGAGAGCACGTTGAAGGCCTCGCAGCTTTGTGGTTCAGCCAACATCCAGGGTTGGACTCAATGCTAGAGGCAGTGAGAATACACAGAGAGGCTGTGCAAGACACTAGTCCGCTAGCTCAAAGTACAGTGAACTGTCATGGCTCAATTGGGAAGAGGACTGAAGTGGTGCCGCAAAAGGTTCCTTGAGTCGCAGTTCATCGACCAGGTGGGAGGACGGGAAAGATTCCAGGTCTTTGAGAGTGGTCTTCAAAGTGCACTCAACTTAGCTCAACTCCGAGACGATCAGTTGAGTGCCCCGAAGCCCCAAAAGCCCTGTAAAGCGCATGGGTTTCTGACCCTCTGCATGTTGCAGGGCAACCCCCCCCGCTTACCCAACATGTTGGAAGGAGGCTTCACTGGCTTTTCTGTTGTTTTGTTCAGTTGGTGCTTGTTGATGCTTGGAGCGGCCTTCTCACTTTCTGCGGCTTCTGTGCCATTGTTTGAGGTGCAAATTTCCCGTGGAGACACGGGCAGCGCCTCCCAGACCTTGAACGACGCCCTCAGCTTGTACCGAGAGCTTAACCAGAAGGCGCGCGTGATCGTGGCGGCGCGGCGCGGGAATTTGGTACATCACATTCCACACATTGGCTTGACCCCTGCCCAAATTCCAGACAAGAGAAGGGGTACATAGTTGGCTTTGGAAGAAACGCACGAAGAATACAGAGGTTTTTCATGCAATACTGCAGGTAAATTGGCGACCGGTGGGAACGTTCAGATGCCCTGTTCCAAGGCTGGCGAAGCCAAGATGCTGCTGATGCTTGCAGGGCTGAAGCAGCGGGGCGGCCGGAATAAGGTGGGGCAAGTCGGTCGGCGTTGCTGAGTGATAAGATTATATAGAGAGAAGCGAAGGATGGCCGAAGGCTGAAGATGAGGTATGGAACAAACTCCATTGTCATGTCATGTCATTTGACGGCAGGATTTATTGTACTGGGGTACATAAGTTCGAGTGCATCCGACGATGGCCACTTCACCCTGCAGAGTGCAGTTATATTGTAAAGGATGGCCGAGGACCATTTTTGAATCTCTGTTTTGAAGAAAGTCTTTCTTTTTACTCAGCAAAACATACACACAGATGAACGATTTGCAGCGATTTCTCGATTTCCGGCCATGTCTCACTCTATTGGTGACGATGCATTTGGGTGTTGATTCTAGGAAGGTCTTTTGTTAACATAGTGGTAGGATGGTCCGTCGCTTGGACACCCGAAGAGCCAGCGGTCGAAAGCGCCCGGTGATCGGGAACATCGCACGCGTTCGGTGCAACATCGGGCCCTGCGGCCCTGCGGCCCTTGAGCTACACACCCGAAAACTCACATGGACCCTGAGAATGGGACGCGGAAGCACCGTTTCCTCTACAAACCAGTGGGTTTCAGGGTCCATGTTGGTTTTCCACGGGGTAAATGTCAAGTTAATGTGCCTTGGTGGAAAGCCTTGACTCATTGACTGGACTCAAAGTTTTGGAGTCAAAACCAGCTTATCTCACACTTAAGGAGTCTTGGGCATGGCACATTCAACCCAAGGGACTGTGTGTCCCGCAACGGTCCTTCCCTCCCTTTGCCAGGAGGCCTTGAGCTTGGCGCAACAGGGCCTTGGACTCTTTAAGGACTGAGAAGCAGTCATGAATGTGGATAAACACCAACCTTTTTGGTGGGCTGCCTGGGTCCCGAGTTTTGGCATCCAGATGAAGCCTGACATTTTGTTCATCAACAGCAAGAGCTGGTCTACCCGACAATGGAACCCATGAAAGGGTTTGGAAGCTTGATGGTCGAGATAGAAACTCTTGCAGCTAGACTTGCTTCCACGACGAGGAGCTGGGCAATTCGAAGGGCGAGGAGGATTGCAAGAGAGTCATTAACAGGCAGTTGGGACCGCGGCTTTTGGGCTGGCCGACGACCCCAAGATGTGTCTCAGAGTTGTTGAAGGCACAACTAATTGCTGCATTCAGGGACCTGTCAAACGTGAAGTTTGAAGCTGAATCCTGAGTGCGGCGCAGTTACCTTCTATGTGCCAGTAAAAGCAGCAGCATCAGTGGACAGCGCCCAGGCCTCAAAACCAAACATCGAAGTGGACCATGACCCCAGCCACATCCTCTCCTCTATAAAAACAAGGTGTCTTCCCAATTCAGGGGCTTTGTCAGAGTCCGTACTTCAGATCCATCGATCTCTCTCTCTCTCGTTGCCAGGGCCTATGCCGAGAGCGGGGAGACTGAGAAGGCACCCAACCGAAACGAGGCGGTGAAGGCACTCGAGGCGCCGGCTCACGTGTGGCGGGTGTTGGGTGCAAGTGGGCAGACGTTTGTTTGAGAGCCGCGCGTTTGGTGGAACATTTGGTCAGGGGCGTTTTCTGGTTGTGCCATTCTTACAGTCTAATAAGAGGGGAAGTGAGAAGCTCAGTATAAAGACACAGGTTTGAGTTCCGCTTTTCTGCGTGGTTGGACCTCTGCAGTTCTTTCACGAACTGGGCAGCACAACAGAGATGCCGCAGATCATCAGATTCCGCTCCGTATGACTGGCCCTTTTTCGTTGGAATTCAAGGGATCCTTTAGTAGCTTCTTGTTCCTAGTAGTACGGCCAGGAGCTCCTAGTAGCGTCCTTGCTCCTAGTAGCGATGCTCTTTGCTCCGTTCGTAGTGTCCTTTCGTTGGTTGGAACCCCCAAGAATGCGGAGGCGGATCTTCCGGCTTCATCCGTTGGGAACCGAAGAGACCTCGATCGACTCCCCGAAAAGATGGTGCCAGGACCTGGCGTCGGCAGTGGAGCAACAGGATAAGTGCCGTGGAGGGAACGGGGTTGGGAACCTGGGCCTTTTCACGGTCTGGTTGCAGGAAAAAGCATGGAAAACAGATGAACACCGAGGTGCAGTGAGTGATGCGATTTGTTTGGTTGAACCCACCTAGCCAATTTCCAATGGCCAAGGCAAAGCAATGAGCCACGCATGCATTGGCAATCATTTGCATACATGTTGGCCCCACGCGAGACCGAGAAATGCGTCCGAGACAGGAAGACCCACAGACGGTGGCCCACTGTTGAAGCCTTGAGTCAACTTATATAAGTAAAGCTTTCGGAAGAACACTGGAACCATGGCACCCTGAATACATCCAAATACATTGAACCATTGAAAAAACAGATTCTCAACCTGCTCGTCTTTGCAGGATCTCCCAGGTGCCTGGACACACCCACTCGGGAGAAATCCGAGCTGAGGAACTTGTGGAAATCCGCCATAGAACAGCTCAATAAGAGCTCTGCATACACGCAGCACGTGTGGAATCCCAGCCGTGTGGTTGCCCATGCAAGGCATCGAAACCAAAGCAAATGCCATTATGGAATCATATAGAACCAATTGCTTTGAAGCAATTGCTTCATATAATGAACCTGGCTGGCAGCTAGGTTTGGGTTGGGTTTCGCTTGGGCGAGTTTTTCCCTTTCGGGACATCCGAAATGGACCGGCCGGACCAGATGCTTTGGGGCCCTTGGATCCATCGACGTTTGCCGCATCTGCCGCAGGACGTGCAGCAGATCTTCGGCGCGGCGCTCAAGAAGGCCAGACAGCCTCGCCAAGCGCCCACGGGGGGAACGGGCGGCTGGCGACACCGAGCGAAAACCGGCGGAGGCACCGGTCACGGCCTATTGGGGGACACTCATCATATTAGATCAATGAAGAGGTCAATGGGACCGAGGTCAATGCTCACCAAGCCTAGTCTTCACCCGGTCGTTGCTTCGCCCTTGGAAATCTATGGCACATGTGGGCGAAGCGGTGCACGCTGGTCCGCACCCATCGTCGAAAGACCTGCCTTGGTTACAAGATGTTTACAAGCACTCAGCTCATTTGTTGGATCAAGTGAAAGCCGAACATGGTGAAACCAGCAGGCAGGGGCATAAAATACCAAAGCCGTGCTGCAACAAGGCCATTGGCCATTGGGACTTGCGACTGCGTGAGGTCGTTACACCGTAGCTTTCCCGGCAGTTGGGGTGATGCGATCGAACCACTCGAAGTGGACACTTTGAACACTGACAAAACCATTATCAGATGATATCAGATGACTTCCATTGACTTGCGAGAACCCCTCGCGATGACGGGGCTTGGTTGACATGCGGTCCGGTCAGCAACGTCACCTTTTTTCCAAGCAGCAAACTTCACACTTGTTTGCATGGTAGGTCCATTTTTTCTTGATGAATTATGCCACGAAACTTTGATTTCCAAAAGAGGACGTTGGCAAACGTTTCTTTTTCTACCAAACTGGGCGTTGTAGGAAACCACCCGAAAGTGTTGCCACTTCGCCAGGACCGACGCGCAGCGGCAGGATTCCTGCAGCAGATGGGCGTGCGGACGAAAGGCCTTCTGTGCTGTGTTCTTTTAGTTTATTGAATATTTGAGTAAGGATGACGGTTTTCTAACCTCGGAAAACCATCATTCTTTTTATTACTTTGATCTATTCCGCTTCTGTTTGTATGTCTTCTGGATTATTTTTGCTATGTTGAACGATCTCAAGTCGGAAGCTCATAACCGACACACACACAATCATCAGACATAATGAATATAGGTATGCGGGTGAAATGGTGACCATCCCCAACTGGAGAATGAAATTCAGCTGTGGGAATGTGAGATCAGATTTTTGTGGGTGATGTCATTGTTGAAGTTTCGATCACTCGATTCAGATGAATATTGTAAAGTTGTATGGACGTCCCAAGGTTTTCGACAATCCAGCATTGCAGCATCCAAGCTTTCCTTGTTCGGCTTTCGATCAAATCAGAGTTGCCGCGATTTCAGAGATCTCCAGCGAAGGTAGCGCACCCGGGCTCATCATTCGTGAGGTCACCAAGGCGGCAGTCATTGCATCGTGGTTGCTCGGAGCTGTGCAAAAGAGCCCCCGAACGGGCCCCGGACAGAAACTTCATTCGGAGCTGGGAACTGTGGGGTTGCCCTGTTACAAATTAACAAAAACACACGGGCAGCATTTGGTCACCAAAGTCAACATGGACTCTGAAAACAGGCCTGAGAGGAAAGCAACCTTCCAGGATTCCTTTCAGGGTTTCAACTTGGCGTGGCAGAGATCTGAAGTTATCGTTTGAACAGACCATGGCACCCGTTTGGATCTGTTTGGACCTGTGTGGGTTAGGATTTGCCTTGGCCAATCCCTATTTGGGACGACCCATGTCAACCCTCCCATGGACCACCGTGTGGGACACGGAGGTCCTGAGCACTTCGCTTCGGGCAGGTCTATACCTACGTGGGCTTCCGCGTGGGTGGCCTGGGGTATGGGCCACGCTTCCGATGCCTCACGCCCACCCATGGGCTCATGGTGGAGGCGACCTGAAGGAAGAGGTGTGTCAGAGAAAGGGGGTTTGATCTGGAATTGAAATACGAGCATCCGGCAAAGTCTATGAACAAATATTAAAGTGATCATAGGGTGGACGTGGGATGGACACCTGCATGAAACCGGCACAATCGATGAGGGGCGAGCCGTCTACCGATGCCCTGCAGACAACAGAGTTGGTCCAGCACTCATATAGTGACGCAAAATAGGACAGGTGACAGGTGAATCCCCTGTCAATATTTACATCGTTTCTGTCCATGTGTGAAACTGTTTCACTGGAGCACGTCTTGAATGGTATGACAAACCCTTGAGCGAAGGACTTCAAGACATTTCACAGGAAAACCTTTCTGGGGATCCTTGACTCACGGATGCCAGGGCGACCCCAACAGCATGCATGCCGTGGGCTGCATGCGGATCGCTGAGGAGGCCTGGCCGGCCTGTTCAGGAGCTCCGAAGATGGATTTTGCCTGGAAAATGCGAGGTTGTTCTTGTTTATAGATGCCTGACAGTCAGCGAGGTTGATCAAAGGAATCGGACACGTCAGGACGCTTCAGGGCTGTCGCCTCATGCCAAACCGTTTTTTTTCTTTTTCTGGGGCAACATCGGGCGACCCAGCTTTGCACCAACATTTCACTAGCGGGCCTCCTGAGCTGATGGGTTTCAGGCATTTTCATCTATCAAGATCTCTTCAAGTGCGCTTGACCACCAGGCGGATGATTGGGAAAAGGAGCTGCAGTACCACCCAGGCATTTTGGATGGGTGCCTGCAATCGCAAAGTGCCCTTGGCTGATGCCTTGGGCGGTCCGGCCCTTTCCTCCGCGGACGCGGAGGAGGGCCCCGTGCGGGTTGGCCGGCAGTGTCTTCTGGTCGGGACTGGCCCAAGGGTGGGACGACTAGGTTTGGTGCCCGTAGTGCAGAATTGTTGCCAGGGTATATACTACCGTCAATTCGGGGCCCAGGTGGCAATCTAAGTTCTGTTCTTTTTTTTTCCCCAAGTCCAGTCTAGTCACTAGTCCTTCTAGTTCCTCAACGTTTGTCCTCACACCTCACATGCACGAAATGGGGGGGACAAACCGTAGACTCAAGCTTGAGATGTGACCAGTCCAGGGCCAGAGGCCATCCCAAAAGTAGAGGCCCACAAAGCATGTCACGGCGGATGACGTGGGTCTCACATGGCCACGAGCAAGACAAGCACATGAAGGATTTCTTCCGTGACAGTTGGACATAGCATTTTGTTCATTCTGTTCGCAGCTGGAAAAAAGCCATAAAAAAGCTCGTGGAGGCGGAGGGGCACGTTCGCGGCAAACTTGTATATCTATATATCCTAAACACTTGGTATGTGTTTCAAACCCTTGGATTCGATGGATGCAACGATGTGCAAGAGATGTGCATTCATTTGGCTGCAGAAAACCATCTATCGCGCTTTCGCGATCACGGCTGCTGACACACAGATCAAGTCCGTTCAATACGATCTCCAAAGCATTGTTTTGCCGGAAGAGGTGCCAAGTTGGACCAAGGGAGAAATCCCTAAGAATCTTAATGAATGTGTTGGAAGCGAAGCTGAATCTGGGACACTTGAAAAGGCACAACATGAGCAAGCCATCACCATTTAAGCTATATAAGCCGAGCCATTTGGCAATGTAGTACAATGTAGTACAATTAGGTCATTGTTTTGTTTGCTAGACCTTAAGCAGTATTTGACAGAGCATGATCATGATGGGGAAGTTGTGCTTGATTGCCTGGACGCTTTGCGTTTCGAGCTCCGCAGAGGGGTGGAGCAGAAGCGACTTGCTGCGGCTGAAGGATGACGTGGCGCGCTTCTTGCCTGAGGCGAAGGGACTAAAGCAACTGCCTTTGCAGTCACCCCCGCCAAGGCCAGGGTGGTCAGCAATCGTTTGCCGGATGAACCTTCATGTTTGTGATCACTGTGGTAATTTCCATCCACACCTCAGCCATCGGGCGCTAGAATGCTCGTGGCGCCACGGGGGCAACAGATCGTTCCTGGCCACGAGTTGCTTTCAGGCAAGACAAGATCGACCATGTGGTGGTGCTTTACATGGAGAATCATGCAGCTGATAGCTTCTTCGGCTGCATGGACCTGCCGGGCTTCGATGGTATCCGTGGTCATTCGATTCCAAAAGATCCGGAGGACCTGTCCAAAGGAGAGATCCAGATCACCTGCGGAAATGCTTCATATGTCTGTCAGAAAGGGCCGAGCTATGATACCTTTGCCCCCAAGTTTGCTGAGAATGGACATCCGAATCGTTATCCATATTCGCTCCAGGGAGACAAGTTCTCTGCTTTGCACGGTGCCACTGAGAACGGAACAGCTGTGACCATGTTTGGCCCAGAGCAGATTCCTATCAAAGCAACACTGGCCCAGAGCTTTGGGGTCTTCAACAAACTCTTCACAGCAACTCCAACTGCCAGCAGCCCCAACCATCTCTTCACCCAGTCGGTCGAGAGCTCAGTGAGTTGGTCTGAGGGGTTTGAGGGGTTTGAGAACCTCTTTGCATTTGTGAGGTCCTTGACAACCCTAAACTCTCAGAGAGCAGTTTAAGGCCACACGATATTCTATTTTTTGCCCAGTGTGCTGCAAGTATTTTGTGCGGCGCTACTAAATTGGTAGAACTCCAGATTCATGCCGTCAGACTTGGACATGCTCTCCTAAGAATCAAACATCTTGCATTTTTTTTGAATCATTTTTTTCAAAGTGGATGACTGGTTCGTTGGCTGCCCCAAAACCACTCAGAGTCCGTCAGAAAGTCACGCTGAGGCGACCAGCTGTGGGATGACCTCGAACGTGCTGTACCCCGACTGTGGGGGAAACGGAACTTATTTCCCTCAACCCACGATTTATGACTCCTTGAGGCTGCACAATGTGACTTGAACTCACAAGAAGCCGAAGGGAACGTACTGGCAGAACTTGCAGTTGCTTCCCGTTCTTGTAAAAGAGTCCAATTGGAAAATATGAGAATGCCGGTCATTTTCCGGTGCCAAGTCAGTGCCCCAGCAGACAGCACGTGGAAGGGTTTGTTGCTTTGCCCCGCGAAAAACCGGCCCCCGAAGCGCTTGAAGTGCTTGAAGCTTCGTGGACGTCGTCCAGAGGCGCCTCCGCTAGTAGCACTTGAAAAGGGGCTGGCCCCCCTTTTCAAACACTGTGGGGGTGGCCCTTTCCAACTCTATTTGATACGTCTCACCTGGAAGACTGGGGTGTCTCACCTGTAGGTGAGCTTTAGCCTCTTCATGAACAGCACCTGCGGCCTGGACGGGAAGCCGTGCCATGGGGAGGACCCCCACGACCCGGACGCCGGGAGTGCCATCGCGTCGCCGGATGTGGCCATGATCGGGGTGGCGCGGCACAAGGATCGCTTCATGAGTCAGACGATCTTCTATGAACAGGCAGCCAATGGAGCCTCGGCGCCCCAAAACAGACACCCTAAACTACTGTAACTAAAGAATAACAAGTGAACATATACATAAATAAAGACACATATATACTATATATTGTCACTATTTTGGAGAAAGGCGACTTCCTAACCATCATCATCCACTGTTACAGGGAATTACATATACACCAGACTAAACTAAATTTGTAGATGCTTTTGCTTGCCTGGAACGGTGGGGTTTTCGGGGCTTCTCATGTCGGGAGGGGAGTTCAATGGCCGTCTATCAAACTCTCTGTCTCCATGGGCACAGTGACAACTGACATTGAGGGTGAGGATGGACATGTAATGCCCATGGGTCAGGATGGTTGTCTCAATGCACACGAGTCTCCAATATCGGGCAACCATCCTCATTTCATTGGACTCTCCGTCTCCATTGAGGATGGTTGCCCAATTCACTGAAATGCACAACAAGCCCAGGTTCGTTGCCAGGCCTCTCCTGGATATTGCCGCCGCTGCAAGCTTGTGACCACCCGTGCCACGACGTTGCTAAAGGCGAGCGGATCTTGAAAGACATCTATGAGGCATTACGTGCCTTGGACTGTTCAGTGTTTCTTCATCATTTGGAGACCCCCAAAAATCAGACTAGGGAGACCCCAACAAATGGGTTTCAGATGGTTTCAGCCTAAGTACACATCCATGTTGACCTGGATCTTGAGCGTGATCAGCACGACCCAGGTGCTGGGCCGTCTTGGACCCGCACACTGTTGTTCGTCGCGTATGACGATGCCGGAGGTTTCTACGATCACGTGGTGCCCCCACACGAAGGAGTTCCTGCTGACGAATCCCCCTGTATAGTACCAGGGGTGCATTCAAAGTGTGGACACCCTTTCGATTTCCGGAGGTTAGGCTTGCGAAGCACAGCTCTGCTCATTTCGCCCTGGGTTGGAAGAGGCGTTGTTTTTCAAGAGCCGCAACATGGACCCTTCAATTCTTCGCAATTTGAATTGACTTCGGTCCCGGCTACGATCAAACATCTATTTAACCTGAGTTTCTTTCTGACCAAGCGCGATGCGTGGGCCGGCAATTTTGAAGAGCTCCTGTTGAATGAACCTCGAACAGACGCTCCACTGCACTTGCCAGATGCCCCACCTCCAGCCACACCATGGACTCCACCACCGCCGAAAGCAAGTGACACCTTTGTGGAAGCTGTTGCCAAAGATCGCGCTGCGTTTCCGGCACCACAGCATTGCAGCTCTTGGCATGGTGAAAGTGAAGAGCTCTGCAAAGGGCTCAACTTTACAAACCTCAAGCAGAAGCGACATCTTCGCTTGTTTGCCGAGCTGCTGAATGTTCCAGCCCCAGATGCCGACCAAATGACTTCGGAGCAGGCGGAGCGCTGGCTCGCAAGACACTGGCGCAAATGGATGGTGAGCTCAGATGATGAGAAGGTACTTGGTTCAGAAAAGAGTAGTGTTTTGGAAGGCCAATTTCAGACTCAATTGGTTTGAAACCCATTTCCCACCGAACACGCTCAGTAAAAGACATGGTGCGGATCCGCGCGGAGGCATGGCTGAAAACCCCCAGCCTTCGGAATCGATGTGTTCGAGTCTTGGGAGGTCAGGTCCTTTGGACCGACACCGTGGTGTCGGACCTTCGCGTCGAACTCTGCGTTCGGACCTTCAGGAGCTGCCGACGCCTCGTCTCGGCGTTGTTTCGGCCGCGCTGCAGCTGTTCACAAAGAATGTCCAGCAAGAAGTCTATGTGGAAAGGATTGGTGAGAACTTCTAACTTGGACGCCCATGTGACGACACATGAAGGTGGCCAAATATATCAGAATATCAGGAATGCATGTTCTCTCACGTTTGGATGTTCAATAGGGAATATATGGGCGACTGGAAAAGCAACACACAAGCAAGACATCACCTTGGACACTAAGCAAAGCTTCACACCTAATTAAACCACTTGACGGACTTGTGAGGTGATCTTACGTCCCAGGTCACGCCACAGATACATCACGCATTCCCGAAATTCATCACAAGAGTCACAGTAGCTCTGACCCTAATTCCTTCAAAACCAGACAGTTGCAATGGCCACTTGAAGCCCTCCGCGATGAGGGCTGCGAGGTGGGTCACCGGGGAGACGATACGACCCTGGAACCGCCTTCCGCTGGCCCGGCCGTGGGCGCGCGCCGAGCCATCAGAGAGGTGTGTTTGGAACACGTAGAGGTCAGAGAACAGGCGGTGATCGCTTCGATCAATCAGGCGATCTGATTTCTATGAGCTCATGCTGATTTCTATGCTGCCGTTCCGTTGGTGCCGCCCGTCCTTGCTCATCGCATCGCCACTTTCCATGGCCGTTCGTATATCGATTTTGGGGGTGGAGACTTCAGGATCGGCATCCCCAGGCGTCTTCGCCACCGTTCCAACTGAGCCCACACGACGTTTTTCAGCCGACGCAGGAAGCGCCCAGCCGCTCTCGTTGCACCTGACGCAGGCAGCTGTGGCGTGTTTTTGCAGACTGGGGTCTGATGGATTCTCCCTACCATTTTTACACCTCAAAGCGAGAGCACGACAAGAGCATGACATCCAGAGCCACCATGGACATCATTTGTGGCCCACAGGCAGCTCCAGTTTGCCGCTGGCCACCAGCCCAAAGAGGTGCGTTGGTTTGTATGTTCCCAAGATCTACTCCGTAAGTGAGTAGGATGAGTCATGAGTAGTACCGGAGCTGTAATTATAAGATTTGCTCCAACCAATTTACTTCGACCGCGGGCAGTGTCTGCCGGGTCTGCCGGGACTGCGGGATTCGTGGCGTACCGGCTTGCAGCAGCGCAGGAAGAAGCGCCCGAAGGCTGCACTGGTGGTTGCCCCCGAAGCAGGCCAACCGAAGGGCGAAGGGACGAAGTATGTATAGTATAAATCTATTAAGAATCAGTATGATATATCATGTAATATTAAATATATATGTATTAATATATACATGTATGTATATATAAGAATTTGTATAATGTATAATGTATATATAATTTCGTTATTAAGAAATATTATTGTTAAGAAAACCTTGGGAAGAGCAGAGCGTCGCTGACATTTCTTCATGCATCAATATTTGCAACGAAGATGGAACTGACACTTCAAGGCAATCCACTCACGACTTGTGTACAAATCTTTGTCAAGATTTTGGCTCTGGCAGCGACTCCATGGTGTTTCCATCGCGTTTTGTTGACCGCCTTCCCACCTAGGTGGCTTGGCAACCACTTTACCGCCTGCGTCCTCGGTTGCGCCGCGGAGGTGCGTCGGCACCGACGTTCGCTTCCTTTTCGGCTGGACGAGATGCGCTGTCCATCGCGTGCCGAAACGTCCGTGCCTTCTCCTTCTTTTTGGCCGCAGGGACAACTCCTGGCGCGAGGTGAAGTTTGTGGGCGCCTTGGGAGTTCCAAAGTCAGAAGGGAGGAAAGGGCGGATGTAGACTGTTGATGAATAAACCCTCCCATACGGAGATGTAGAACCATTCGGGTAGGGGGGTTGTGTTGATCAACAGTCTTCATTAAGAGTCCAACTATCTACGATGGTGTATCGCAGCGCAGCTTCACTGGCACTGTTTTTCTGGGATCACTCCATCTCACAGCCCACCAGATGAGCAGAGGATCAGATTCCAGGGGCGCCATTGCGCTCTTCCGCATTTTGAACATGTCTCCCTGCCACTACTGAAATCTGATGGAGTAACTAACTGATCGCGTGCTTAAACCAAATTGTTGGTTACATATACGGGCTAAAGGTGGACGTTGCATGTGCTTAGGAAGCACGTCTCAGGCATTTAGGTTTACAGTTTTCGGGGAGCGCCCGAAAACCGCTTCGCCATGGTCAGTCCTCCTTCCATTTCCAATGAGGTTCTTCCTGAGGTGTATGGTGCAGCCGAAGGCTCTGAAGGCTCTGAAGGCTCCACAGAGTTAGGGACGCGTGTGGAAGAGTCCGAGCTCTTAAAGCTCTTGCGGAGCGCAGGTTTGGAGGAATGGCACTCCAAGTTGCTCTCCTTCGGCTACGAGACAGTGGACGATGTGCGCTGCATGGATGAGCATTGCATGGAAGAGATAGGGCTACGTGGTGGGCACCGCATTCGTTTGGAACGCGTCCTGCCAAACACAGTGGTCAAATTGACTGTGCCGCAGCCCAAGCTGGAAATTCACTCCCTACGGCCTCCACTTTGCCAAGAGGGAGATTGCACGCAGATTGCCGGATCCAAATGTCATGCATGCAACAAGCTCTTGTGCCTTGCTCATGTGAAGACAATCCAAAAGAGCAACATGGTTGGAAACACCGCTGTCATCAAAGACATTCCTGCTTGTTCTACATGCAACCACAGAAGCGAGGATGAGGATCGATCCAACCGTTTTGTTGGCTGCGCCGTGAGCATTTGTGTTTTTTTCATCGGCACTATACTGGTCACAAGTATTGCATCGGCCTGACTTGCCGGCTGTGACCTCATGGGATGGCAACAGATATGAAATGATATGCGTAGAATATTTGAAGAGCTTGTGCAGTTGTACAGATGCGTAGCCTTGTTTTAGTCATATAAATTTGGATGTGCCAATTAAGATCGCAGGTGATCTTCTGACTCCCTGGGCAGCGTCTTGTATAGAATTGTTTATTGCTAGGATGCACAGAAGGATCAGTTTAGGCACCTTAGGTCTTCGTGTCAAAAGGATTCGGAGCCTTGTGATGTAAAGACATCTTGCTGGAAGCGCAAAGATGGGTTTTGCACCATCCACAGGCAAGTTGCACACAGGGGCCGTGGTATGGAGAAGGAATGCAAGCATGTGGATTGGCAAATGCGGCATTGCTTGAGAAGCCACCAATTATTCTATCATCGATTTGATCAACATTGAGCCCTAAACCAAGCCAAACCAAGGGGCAAGGGGGCCCTGTAGTGCACACATCCCATATCCTCTCATCCCATCCACTGGATGAGAAAGTGCGGCGGCCGTTTTCACCAGCCCGTGTCCGTGCGCCACGGATCCGCACTCCGGACGCAGGTGGAGGTGAGTGGGGAGCAATACTCTGCCCTGGCCACAGGAGCAGGCTCGGTCTGGCCTGGCTGACTGTGGAGTGCCCAAAAAAATCCAGTGATTGAGATTGTGGACCATTGAAGCGATGTGCTTTGATGTGCTTTGTTTGGATCAGAGACTTGTTGCTTTTCTGACGCCAAAGAACCCCAAAGGGTGTAGGACCAGGGCTATAAGAATCACGTCGTTTATCAGAGCTGTGATGAGTCAGTCCACATCCGGTGATTGTTGCGACAATCATGGGACTCGTTTTTGTTGGCCGTCCTCGGCGACCCCAGACGCTGCAGACGGCGGGTTTTGGAGTACAAAGGCTTAGGCTTTCTATGACATGCCAGTTTATCGAAGAAAGCCTAGGCATGTTACATCGGCATGTGAATTGGAACACAGAACGCCTGGGTTGCCATTTTTTAGGTGCATGCTGGTGATTCATTGTCATTGCCACATGTAGACCGGTCCAGTGATGAGTGCAAGTTGTGAAAACGAACTGCGTGCAGATTCTCATTTCATAGTATATATATATAATATAGTCAAGGCGGCAATGCTTGTGGAATCTTTCTAGTAAGCCAGACTTTCCATTTCATAGAAGCCTTGTATTCTTCCTCAAGTCGTAGAAGATACAGATGTAACCCCCCATGCAACACTTCCTCCGGCGCATGGGGGCATGAAACATGTTGTGCTTTTGAAAGGACCACAGACAGCGGGGTTGCCCCGCAGCCACCGTAGCGGCGGGACACCCCGATCTGACCACGCGCGGCGGAGTGGTCTCCGCGCGTCCAGGCGACGTGGCCTGGAACCGCAGCGGACGTTCCGGGCGAGTTCCGCGCCGCGGGCGTGGGTGCCCAGAACGAACTGAAACCGGGCTGTCGGACGATGTGAAGAGACGCACCGAAAGACCGAACACGTGGTAGAAACTGTGAAACAGTGGCCTTGGTCATTGCCTTTTCGGTTTGTTTGCCTTCTTTCTGTTCTGGACCTGACCCTCATCGGAACGCGTAACCGGAAGTTTCCAGGTGTCAGCAGATCCCAGGCTTTGGTCTCGTTGGGGCCGTCGCTCAGGAGCCGGGTCCGCTTCCCTCCACTGGAGGCGCATGCGGAGCGTTGAAGACGCCCGCAGGGATGGTGGAATTCATGCCTCGCATGTGCTTAGATCGGCGTGGCCAAAATGGGTGTCAAAAGCTTCGAGTGTTTTGGAGGGCCAGCGAGCAGTCGGTTCTCGGGCCAACGAAAAGACTGCCTCTTCGGCCCATTGCAGGCATGGCGTGGGGAGCGGGTGGTCTACGAGAGACCACCAGGATGGGCAGAGACATGGGAAGACCGAGCGACCTGTGGCTTGCAGATGGTTCAGATTCGACCATTTAACTATTTGTATGGTATGGAGTACGAAAAAGACTGCGATTGTTGCATTTTAGACACTTGTTGGCAATGCACAGCATGTTTTGAATCGTTTTGAGAGATGACTTTGCCAATGAATCTGCATTGGCTGATCACTGATGTGTGGGGTCGTGTACTGAATACAATGGACACAGGTGATGTCGTCCAGCATTGCATGCTTGGTTTATTACAAAAACGTGGGCACGGGCAGAACCTTTGGGAGATCCTTGGCCTAGAGGTTTGAGGTTTCAGCGTCAGGCTCGGGCCTGCTCAGCCTAGTAGCTTCTTGTTCCTAGTAGTAAGGCCAGGAGCCCCGAACGTAGCGTCCTTGCTCTTAGTAGCGATGTCAGCAGCCCCGAACGTAGCTTCTTTTTCCTAGGCCTGAAAAAGCACCCGTCAGGCTCTCATGCGCCCCAGATGCGCGGTGTCGGGGTGCCCGGCGCCGGTCGCGGTCGACTCGTCGAGGTGCTGCCGTTCGTGTTCAGCGGGTGGAGGGCGGTCCTGTGGACGACAGGTCGTGACAGGTCGTTAGGCTTTTGTTGGTTGAAAAGGGGTTGACGGTTGACGTTTGAAGGTTTCTCTCTTTGGGAGGCGTCACGGGTTGTTAGGGACAGCGATGGTTCTCACACCTGGCTTAGCAAGTTGACACATCTTCCACATGCTGAAAGACTGAGTGCTCAGGTGGTCTTGAACACTGCGGCAGATCCAGGCGCCCGTTCCTGCGCTGAGCAACGCGCGTGCCGAACGCAGCGGTCGCCGGTGAAGACCGAAGTCCCAAATCCGTGGGTCGGGGAGGCCACCTGGGATGCCATGATCATGAGATTCCTCGAGGGAGTCGATGGGGTGGACCTCTTCAGCCTCCATCAGTGACTGGTCCAGACTGCTCCCAGCTTGGACTTGGCACCAGGGCTGCACGCCTGGGCGACCGCCGTGGCGCAAGACACCAAGTCCATCGAGGTGCGGTACTCGAAAATCCGAGCGCGTGCGCGAAAAAAGAACAGGGTGCTCGGCGCTGGTAGCTCTTCCTGCACTCGGGGTTTGTTCAGCTCAAACAGCTGAACTGAAGATCTTAAGTTGGAGAAGAAATCCCGTTGAGGTGAGATTTGTGAAGTACCGCCGAGTAGGGAGGACAGTTGAAGTCCAAGTGCTTGGCGGGTTTTCCCTCATTTGTATGGAGATCCTGCCTGTGAAATGATCTGGGGCACACTCATGTGGGTGGCTGCCCGGAGTCATGTTTTCGTCATGGAAGACATCATTTGGGTCGTTTTGGTCCACCTTTGACCGCGCGCCACGCATCCAAACGGGCTGCAGAGTATCCCTGACTTCGGTGCAGATTTCCACAGTGCCCGAAATCAGAACAGGTCAGGTGGATAAGCTTTGTCTTTTTAGGGAAACTGAGGGTGTTTGACATGTCATGACATGTCATGTCTGATGTGCATCATATCGCAGTCTGATGGGAGGCTGCAGCACCCCTAGCGCTGGAAGACTGGGGCAGCGCAGGCCGGTGAGTTGATCATTCTGGGAAAGCTGCGGAGGCCCTGACCTTCATCTCATTGGCATTCATTTGGTCTAATTAGAGTCTAATAGCTTCTTGTTACTAGTAGCCTGGCACCTGTTACTAGTAGCGTGGCACTTGTTTCTAATAGCTTCTTGCTCCTAGTAGTAAGGCCAGGAGCCCCGAACGTAGCTTCTTGTTACTACTAGTAAGGCACTTGTTACTAGTAGCGATGCACTTGTTCCTAGTAGCTTCTTGCTCCTGGTAGTAAGGCCAGGAGCCCCGAACGTAGCTTCTTGTTACTACTAGTAAGGCACTTGTTACTAGTAGCGATGCACTTGTTCCTAGTAGCTTCTTGCTCCTAGTAGTAAGGCCAGGAGCCCCGAACGTAGCTTCTTGTTCCTATCAATGACCGGATCAGCAGCTTCGTTGTCCGCACCCGTTGGTGACCGACCCGTCGCTCAGTCGCGTCCGCTCAGTCGTATCGTCCTTCAGAGGTGGCCTGAGTGAAACGTGCGAATCTTGTGGGTCTTGCTTCTTCTATATCCGGATATTCCATGTTATTTCATGATATTTCAATAGGGCATTCAAATCCGCAGAGCCTCCCACCACCCGGACGCAAGCTCGCTTTCGCTCTTGTTGGGCCCGATGATCCAGAGCTGGAGAGAACCCCCCGCCGTTTTGCCCCCCCCGACTCGCCAGGCGGGGAGGACTGGCGCCCGAAAGAGAAGAAACCGTGCGGGGCGGTTGGTTTCGGCCGGCGGTGGGGCGTCAGTCTCCGTTCGCACGATGTATATTTGGTTCCTATTGGTTCCTAGGTTTTTACGGTAATGGAAACCTGATAAGAAGAAAGACTTTAAGGAACCTAAGAGCGATGGCCTCCAACCTAGCGATGGCCTCCAACCTCTAGCGATGACCTCCTTTTCTTTGGGTCTTCTTTGCGTTTTGGGGGAGCTCAAGAGGTTTGGACTTGACTCTGACCTAAAAAAATCATCGAGGAACGATCGACTGGGTTGGAAGTCCTTGAGGGACCAGAGATCGATCTTGAATTTGTTTGCTGAATTCACATCGTTTCGGTGTACCAATTGAGAGTGAACAAACATGAACAAACATATAAGCATGAACAAGCATGGCTTCTTGGAATCTAAATGTTTTGACAGTTGCAAAAAAGGCCCAATCTAACTTACATAGCCAAGCCCAAAATGGCGGAGACTGTTCGGCACCCAGATGCTGCACCACTCAGAGCGAGGTATGTGCTCTCGGAGCGAAGTGTGTACAACTCCGGAGGGGAAAATGTTGGACACTCCCTGTTCATAGCTTAGAGGAACGAACGAATCAACAGGTTTGCTTCGGCCTCGTGGCTGCAGCTCAGCTCTGTCAGTGCAAGACATGAGGACATGTGGCGAACAAAATGATCCATGCGCGGCACATGAGAAGCCCGAACACAGAAGCTCAGAAGATGTTAGCGGATGATAGTATTTGCCATGAAAGAAAGACCTGGAGAGTCTTTCCGGAACGAAACCCACCAGCGTAGCTCGCCTCATCCGCGTAGCTCGGCGCAGTCATCCACCGTGCCGGAACCCGGCAGCGTAGCTCGCATCGTCACGACAGCCTCAGCAGCTTTGCTCAGCACACATGAAGACATCGGGAGACATCACGGGACATCACCATGACATGACGTGACATGACGTGACTCACGTTTCATTGGCCGTAGCCGTAGCGTGACCAGCATGGCAGACGTTCCAACGTTCCGATGAACGTTCCCATGAAGCAAACCGCCTTGGAAGGTGCCCGCAGTTTGCTGTTCGGGTCTGCAGGCTTGCTAGGATACCATGGGAACTCACTTGTTGCAGCTTGGTCAGTCAGAGCTGAACACGGTCAAACAGATTAGTTGTTGTGTTGTTCTTTTTGGTGATGGGGGCAGAGTATTTTCACAATTGTTGTTTTGGTTTTGTGACATGCGTGCAAAAGCCTTTCTAACGTTCAACCTTAGAACTTAGAACATCTTAGAACATTACAGAGAGAGAGAGAGAGAGAGACAGAGAGAGAGAGAGATAGATAGATAGATAGATGAGAGAGACAGAGAGAGAGAGAGAGAGAGAGAGAGAGCGAGGGAGAGAGAGAGAGAGAGAGAGAAAGAAGACGGTTCTCTAGTTCGAACGCAAATTGTGTGTTGAACCCCGTCTTGTTGAGTGTTTGAACTGCTTCGTGAAGTCTGGGAATTTGGAGGGCTTCTTTCAGGTACCCTGCGGCCTATGGCACACAGCAGTCTATCCAATTGCGCCACAGCAGTCTATTGGGGTTTGAAGATTTCCTCGAGCCTGCGAGAGCGCACCCTTCGAGCGAGTTCTGCGATCAGGTGGCATTTTCCCCCTCTTTCCCATTGGGGAGAAGGCGCGGATGCAAATTCTGATCTTATCCGCCCTGACTTGGCTTTGTGGTTTCCATTACATGGGAAGCGTGCAAGACCACTAGATTCTAGATGACGAGGCATGGCTACCCCCGCAAACATTGAATTGCTAGTGGGAGGTTGGAGAGATCCACTTGCAAAGCCGTGCGCCGCAGCCGTTTCCTTAGTTCAAGAGCGGGTGTGGAGAAAACGCCTTGCTTTCAAGAGTTGGTGCACTGAAAACATGGTGCATCCTTTAGTGATTGGATTGGCAACGGGCATTGGCCTCCTCACAGACAAGCACCCTGGAAAGAGTCAAGGGGCGAGGAAGGGGTAACTTCCTGCAGACGATCCCACGGACCCTGAGAATTGACCCGTGGGTCTTCCATGTTCCGAATACCAACCCGACGTGGTTTTGGCGGGGTGCTAACCAATCTGCAGGGGCGTAACCTGTTCGATTGCAGAGACGGCGGCCTTTAAGGACCGTTGGTTAAGCTTCCTTGAAGAAACAGGTCATTTAAGCACCTCTGACAAGTGCCATGGCATCCAAGAATTAACAATGGAACAAGGGCATCAAGGGGCTAACCTTCAGCTTCTCAGAAACCATGCACTCATCGATGTGTGGGTGTGATCTTGTTGCTCGGGTGCCCAGACATTCCATTCTTGGGCGACTCAGAATGGTTCTCTCCGCACGACGAACCCCAACGACCCCAACGCCCGCCGTACCGCCGCGAGACGTCGCGCGCTAGGTACATGCTGGGCGCCACGAACTTTGTGGAGCACTATTCGGAGTTCCATGCCACGCACGCCCAGCACGACCTGGTGAAATCCGCCATGTACGCCGGCTCCATCCTCGGGATGATCGCTGCTCGCCCGCAGAAAAAGGGAGCCGGTGTCGTTTTGTGGTTCTTTCTTTGTTTTTTTACCTTTCGCCTGCTAAAAGGAAGCTGCTTGTCACAAGGACATGTTTGTTTGGAGAAGCCGAGAGTTGCTTGCATTCTTTGTATGTCCTGATCGCTGGGAGTGCTTCACACATTTTGGGCCACACTAAAACTAAATGCTCCTACTCGGTCCTAGAAACGCTACCCCCGCTGCCTGGAACCTGTTGGAACTCCTTGGACCTCTATTTCAGCCCTGGGAACTGAGAACCCAGCCCACCCTTCACAACCACACCCAGTGCGTCTTCTGGTGCTGCTCATGCGCCACATGCGGCGCATGCGGCTCCCGGGCACATTTTTGCAGGTCATGGGTCCCTTAAGTGACCTCATTGGCCGCCGCAACGGACTGATTTTGTGTTCGCTGATCACTTTGACTGGTGCCCTGCTGAGCACCTTCGCCTGGTGTGAAAACGCACTCATCGCGGCACGAATCATCACGGGCATCGGCATGGGCGGAGAGCAGCTTGTTGTGATGGGATGGGGATCGAGGGATTTGTGAAAGCTGAACGATCCGAACGAACGATCTGAACCACGCGGAGTGGCGGTCCCGGAATCCGGTCAACACGGTGTGGCGGTTGGGTTTGGACGGAGGTGGAGGTGGTGCCCGGGAGGTTGGCGCGCGAAAGCACCAAGGTATCCTTTGGCATCTTCCCACAGCGCGGAGTCCTCCAGTACCGCTGATGGTGCAAGGACCGGTCGCGCTGGATTTCGTTGAAACTGCCAGGATCACACATTGGGGCCACCTCAACCCCGCACAAAAGCCGTTGGGACCGTTTGCAGCTTTGCAGGGTAGTAGCCGCCGCCCTAGCTCTCTGCGAGGAATGTGGCACTGCTCTACCTCTTTGGTTCTGGTGGTGGGCAGGCGACTCGTTCCGACTCGTTCCGAGCGAGATCCTCCGTGATCCGAGCAGTCTTTGAGACGACTGTCAACCCCATGTAAACCCCATGGCCAGACCAGTCATGAGACGATTTGACATGCTCTTTTTCTTGGCTCCAACGTGCCAAACCTGAGTTGAGGTGGTAGCGTTTCGTCACGTAGTGATCTGTCAACAGGCTCCAGCAAAGATGGACATTGTCATCTGGCATGCTCTTGATACACATGTTCTTTATTTTTTGCAAATGACACACGATCGTTGTGCATCCTCCTGGCAGGCGTTGTGCCCTTTGGTGACGTACTTGATGGATATCGCTGGAGTGCCAGATCACTTGTTGTGGCGCTGCATCTTTGCCATAGGCGCCCCTTTTTACCCAGTAAATCATGATCGCATGTCTTTGAGGTGATTCCTCCTTTCAGGATACCCAACCGCTTGTTCATGGTTGTCTTCCGGGAGCTCAGTGCAAATTAGGGCAGTGGGTGCGGAGGCTCTCTAGACCAACTCTCCACGCACTGCCCTTTCCTGCTTTAGATCGAAACCAGATCGAAATCCGGTGAAAAAGAAACACCATGGATGCGGGATTAAAAGGATAACAAATCCTGTGCTCTGTTTGTCTAAAAAGGCTAGACCCTCCAACCCTTTCACCTGTGGGTCGGGGGTTTATTTGCGCAGTTCAATTATGTTCAATACACATACTGCCAGGTCAACAGGTTTGCGCACAGGTCATCCTGACTGGCATTGCCCTGAGAGGCAGTGCGTTGTCCGTCTTGGGCCTGCTTTTGCGCATTGTGGCCACACAAGACAGCCCCAAGTTCAAACAGAGTCGAGCCAGCCACAGTCACCAGGACACCGGGCCAACCGCTCGGACGGGGCCCCGCGTTTTCCACCAACGGCTCAACCAGGGCTCCGTAAAAAGACGTATTGCCACGAAACGTGTGACGTATTGACGTGGACCATGAGGTTGGAGGAATTTCTTGGAGGTTGTTTTTCTCGCATCACCGAGCCGTTGAAACGGGACGTGTGAAAACCCTGGCGAGTCGACCGCATCGTTGCTGCGGCCATACTGGAGGCGGGCACCCGCGCTGGAGGGGGGGAGAGGTCTAGCCCGGTGCCAGGGGTCTGATTCCTGATTCACTGGAGACTGAAGCCTCATAGATCGTGGATCAGATTGTTTTCGGGATGCTTGGGATGGATTTCCTCTGCAGGGGGGGTGCCTTGTTGGCGCAAAAAGATCCCCCCACTTGAACATAGTTTGTTGCTTGTTTCATCTTGTTTCTGAAAGTACAGACTTGAACGGGCAAACGATGATAGGCCACTTTTGGGTACTGCCGGTGGTTGGTTTCTCTATGACATTGTGGAGTATGGCTTGAAGCAGAACGACGCTGCCATTTTCGATGCGGGCCACGACGGAGCCTACAGCGACAGTGTGCTGAGCGTCTTTTTCACTCGGCTCCTGGTAATACCCTCACTGATGCTTGGACATTGAAAGCACCAAAGTGTTAGAACATCAACAAACCGGATCAAGCAAGCAACCAAGGTTGCTGAAGAAAGGTTTGTACGGGGCGTAGCTTTAGTTTGCTTTCCACACCTGGCATGCTTTTGATGAACAATTGGTTTTCTCATACAGCTGGCCTCCAAAAAGCTCCGCGCGTTGCGCGCGTCTCTAGACGAGCTGGGGGGATGCCGCGACGGCGGGTCCTCAGACGGTGCCTCTGTTGTCTCACTCCCCTGCGCTCCGAGGACGACACCCCAGGATTTGGTTCAACTGCCACGGAAAAGATCCCAACCCTCTTCAGGCTGTATGCTCCTAGTAGCGTCCTTGCTCCTAGCAGTAAGGCCAGGAGGCCCCAGTAGCGTCCTTGCTCCTAGCAGTAAGGCCAGGAGCCCCTAGTAGCGTCCTTGTTCCTAGTAGCGCTGAAGGCTGTATGCTTCGCCCTGGAGGCCCAGCATCCGAGTCTTTGGACCCCACTCTGGTGAAAGGCCTAGGTTGTCGACTGAATCTACTGTCATCATTCGTTGGCTCCCACAACCATTGTGTCACTGTCCCTGCCCCCAAAAAGGGCATTCCTTTGGACATGGCTGCTTGATGCATGGTTTGCCGGGGTACATCTTCCACAATTTTTAGACCGTGATCCCGCCATGACCAGCAGCCGCTCAGGATCGTTGCACCTTGGCTGCTCACCATGACCAGCAGCCGCCGAGTGCAGTGTGCAGGTTTCCTGGGCTGCGCCTTGTGCAACCTCGCCTTGGCCGTGGGATACGGAACTTTGAAGGTGCTTGGCGATGGATTGGGTTGGTTGGATCGGTGAATGTGGTATATAGCTAGAAGTACAGTGGGGTAGCTAGTTGCTAGTTCTTGTAGTAAGTCGTCTTTTCATGTCTTTTCTGCTTGCCGGGTTCGTGGTTATGGTTCTCCTTGGGTATCCTGCGATTCTTGTCCAACCTAGACTTCGTTGACTTCGTCGAGTGGCTAGAGAGCAGAATATCTTGGTCGCTGATGAGGCTGGGGTGGCTCCAAGGTAGGCCCTTGTCCTTCGCAGGAGATGACGGTTCTCTTCTTCGCCCTCTACATCATTCAACTTTCCTTCCAGAGTTGCATGTCCAGCAATAGTCATGTTCCGTGCGCAGCTTGAACGGGTTCAGGGAAGCTGCTTCCAAATGACCTTGATGCCAACAGTCTGGCTTAAAAAAGACTCTTCCAAGTCCTGGCATTTTGCACTTTGACACTTCATGGAGACATTCCCATTCTTTTGTCAGAATCATATTATGTCACGTTGGGCAGCCCAAAGAAAGAACACGAGCTTGTTTTCCCTCCTCCACACCAGTTGAAAGCTACAAACCCAAGCGCCTCTCCCCGAGGCTTGCCGGGGGTGACTACCATGGCCATCAGCGCGGAGATCTTCCCCAGCATGGTGCGTGGCACCGGCGCGGGCATCTCAGCGGCCTTCGGCAAGCTTGGTGCCACCATCGGCTCCTACGCCTTCTCGGAGATGACGCTCCGGTGTATTCGGTGGGGAAATGAGAGGAGGAGGGCGGTGTGGTGGAATTGGGATCATAAGAAGACGGATTGGAGATATGGGAGAATGGTGAAGGTTATGGAAGAGGATGGGCTTGGGCGTGGTCTGAGTGGTATGCCGCTTGGGAAGTGGTCTAGACTCTAGACTGCTTTGCTCCACGCAATACTTGCTGGTCCTGGTCAGTTTACGGACCGAAGATGACCTTCCACGATTTTAGACCAAAGCGGCCAAAGGCTAAACCTGCGAAGAAGGGCGGTTCTCCATCATTTGGTTCAGTTCTCAAGAGCGATAGCCTTTTGGCGTTGTCGTATCCGCAGCCCTCCCTGATTTGGTGCCTTCAGCGGTGGTAAATTCTGGAGAAGAGACCTCAGCACTCAGCGCTCTCTTATACCCTCGATGCGTGAACAAAATTCACCCCGTTTCCACATCCCACTCCATCTCCTATACGTCATTCTCATGTTTTGCAGGTTAAACGATATATTACAATATATTATAAACATACACCACTCTTCAGAGTTTTAGCAGTCTATCTCAGGAAGAACTTGGGCCTGATCGCCACGATTTTCTGGGTGGTGGTGATCACCTCCATCCTGGCTTTGCTGTTGACCCTATACGCCATTCCACTCTACAATGGTCTCTCCCTGGATGCCGCGGACGCCTTGGCGCGCGAGGGAAAGCTGCAAGACGCGGTCCAGGTGCTCTATGCGCCGCCGGAGGAGGCGACCAAGGTATACGTGCCACGGCGAACGGAGACGGAGAACGGGCGCCAACCAGACTGCATGTTGGCGTCTGAGGCGAAGGAGAAAGCTCTGGATGAGGAGAGTGGATGAGCAGACTGGGTCCGCTAATGCATCTTCTGCTTGGCGAAATCTGATTCCAAAGAGCCAAGCAAAGCCCTTCTGGAGAGGAGCTTGGCGTTTTCCAACGTGCCATGCTCCTCAAAGTGCTAGAAACATGTATTTGGGGAGAGAGGTCCCAAGACACGGGCAGCTCTCAACTGGATGCCCAGCATGAAATGCTTTCCCCATCTGTTGAGAGCTTCCCACCAATCTTTGCAAGCTTCTGTTACATAGCTGGCAAAGTGGGCGCCCTGGTTTCAGAAGGACAGACACCTCGGGGTGCACTGCTTTGCTACTTTCGACCTGACCGCCAGTGGTAGGTGGATTTTGGCCTTCCTGCTCGGCCTTCTTTCTCCGCGTGGGGAGTAGGAATCACGGTCAGACGTTTCGACATTTGCCGTCCACGACGCGAGGGGCGCAGTGAGTTTTGGGGTGCCAGGCTGAGAATGTTCTGTCGCCTGGCGTTTATGGCATCTCACCAGAAGACTGCCTCGGGAAGCATTTGGTGCACATCTCCAAAGAGAGGATCTCAGCAAACAGACCAAGGGACATGCCAGAAGTGTGAAAGAAGCGTGTGTTTGTTTTCTCGACTCTCTCCTTCAATGCAGAAGTGGTGACTTTGGCTCCAGTCTAGAGAAGTTTCATCTTCACAAGTCATCACCCTTTTGAGTGCCTCTCCAGCTTCGATCTTCTGTCGGCTTATGGAGAGACCGCCACTGTTGGACCCCACTGACCGGAGAAAACCATTTCGCCTCTGCGCTCCGGATGCACGCCGCGGCCGCGGTAGCGCCAGGTCTTGTATTGGTCACGCTCGGGTGGACACTGGGTGCCGGGCACTGTCCTGGGGCACAACATCCAGCCGCTGGGGAAGTGTCAAATTGGACCGGTGTGATGTCGTGGTTTTGGTGTCTCAAAAGAGGAAACGGAGGGTTCCCCGGCCACCAAAAGGTTTACTGTATTTGGGGGGAGTCTTTGCAGTGTGTTCTGTGAGCATGGTGAAGCACCCGCAGCTCCTCCAAAACGGGATGCATCATACAGATTATACAGTGAACGTACTGCACATCTGAGTAGACTGTTCTGATATGTCCCGAACCTGGTCAGGGAGACTGCTGCAGAAACGTCAGCAGGCTGAGTTAGACAGTTCGACAGACACTTTCACTACCTTCTCGACGGGGTAAGCTATCGAGTCATTGTGCGTGTTTTGTTGTTATTTTACTTTAAAAGAGTTACTTTGCTACCAGTCCCCTGTACCGAATCTCAAGGCATTCAGATTGATGTTCGATCGTCACTATGTTCGAACTGGGGTGCCCACATTTTCAGTCGATTCCTTCCGGGCTTCGATAGATGCAAGCCAGTTTGATCGTGCTTGACAGATATAGCTACAACATATTACATTATATAACATGTTTCACCCGGCTTGGGCGGTCGTTCGGTCACCCAGGAACATGCGGCTGGTCCAAATGGAACATGGAACATGAGCCGTGAGCCTTTTCTGGAACAGTAGAAACAAGAAGCTACTAGGAACAAGTGCATCGCCTCTAGTAACAGGTGCCTTACTAGTAGAAACAAGAAGCTACTAGGAACAATAAGCGCGATAATAGTGAGGCATCATCCATCGCTCTGGACCGGCGCCTCCGCCTTTCGCTTCTCCTGACCGGAGCCTTCCTCCGCCTTACGCATCGTCCGCAGCTGTGTTCCGAGGTCCTTCGGTGACGGGGATCCCAGCAATGGACCACGGGGCGGTAGACGTGGCACTGCCGACAGAGAATGTTGCTGTTTTCCAAAAGATCGATTCTGCTCAGTCCGCTGTCCCACACTGAATTGTTCCATATGGAAAAGGGACTTTCCGGGCTGCCAAACTTGCTCCATCTCTCCTGCCCGGGGGGGAATTCGGCTGAACTCGGATCTCTAGCTTTTCTCTCCACTCCACTCGAGTTCTGCATGGGCATTGGAGAATCCTGATGTTCTCTCGCCAGGCCAAAGGGCATTGGAGTTATGAGTTGGATGCGAGGGACCCCAGGGACCGAAGACGTGGTGTCAGACACGACGGAAGGGGATGGAGGATGCAAGATGCAGGAGGCTGGGGATGGGGAGGGTGTTTGATGGTGTTTGTGTTCTTGTTTGAATCTGCTGATACGGTTAGTTTTTTTCTGCTGACAGGGGTGATGGGTAGTAGGTCAGCTAAGTTTTTGCTGGAGAATATGGAGACACGGTTTCTGAGTGTTGAGCTGGGAGGGGGGATATTCACTCGGTCCAGGGTGTGATTGGTCGGACAATAGAACGATGTTTGTTCCTTGGTCAATGAGAGGCTGCTGGGTGATTTTGGTGCCTTTGTCTTGGCTGGAGCTGGTATTTTGCACCACATTTTCTCTCTTGTGGAATCGTGAGAGTAATTTTCTTGCTCAGATATGAAGACAGTGCATCCAGGACAGCGCAGATTCGGACTTGCTGGAGTTTTTTTTCTTATTTGTTGACTTGATTCTAGTTGCCATGCGGTTGAAATCAAAGTCATCACTGATCACCCCTTGTGGATTTCTCTTCAGAATTCTTGGCTCAAAGACCGAAGACGGCAAACCTCCACAAATCCAAGAACCAACCACCTCCACAAATCCACGACAGGAGTTTTGAGTATAACGGTTTTGAATCTTGGGCAGGAGATGCTCACAATGACCATGGGCAGGAAAACACCCTTGGAATTTTCACCGAGGTTCAGCCACAGGCCGCGCCCTCGCTGGTGGTGCAGGAGACTGAAGCCGCCCTGCAAAACGAGAGAACATGGAAGCCCTTTACAACATTTTACAACTAAAGAAGAGGTGCTCTTGCATAAGCGCAGCCTAATGCCCGGCAGAATTGACCAGCTTGGCAACCAAGATTGCACGGAAGTGGGACAAAGTTGGTGTGCTAAAAGTCTGTTTTGGTGCCAAGACCGATTGCTCACGGGGTCCAAGGTCAGAATTCATGCTTCCTTAATTGAATAAGTTGGTTTCCATACAGATTGTATCAGATTGTAAGGATTTGCAATGCCTATCAGGTGGAGGCGAAGCAGGTCACATCCTATCAAGCAGGTCGTTGGGGAGTCATGAGATTTCGGCGTTTTGGCACCAGGATTGGACTGCGAAGTTCAAAAGCTCAGGCGTTGTGAGTGCCACAACAACAAAACGACCCTCAGACATAGGGTTTTGGGGTAGACCACCAGGAGGCGACCGATCAGGTCACTTGAAGTCACTGACTTGTTCATTTTGGGCTATTTTCTGCCACATTTTTGTCGGGTTCCGCCAGTTTGGAGCACGCCTGTGGGGTCGTCTGTCGAGGGTGATTTTTACACAGGTATCTCAGCCATTCTCAGCCCACTTCTCCCGATGGGTTGGGATTCTGACCCGGAGAACCAGGAATCAGAACGACATGATTATTAGCATTCATTAGCTATTTTTTGGGCCAACCAGTATTTGGACATATGTAGCTTTTCGAACGTGTTTGCATTCGGGTTCGTGGGCTCCATCTTGTTGTCTTCTTTTGGGGGGACACTGCTTTTTAGGACTCGTTGGGACAGTGGATCCATCAGTCCTCAGGACCTGCTTCGGTTCCCGCTTCACTCGTCTGCCCATGGCAGGTCAGCAGGGTTACCCACAGCCGCGGATTATGCCGGGAAACACGGACCGGATGTGGGCTGAAACAGCGGGTGAAGTCCAAGAAATCAACGGTGCGGCTTGACAGCACATGGCAGCACCATTTTGAAGGAATCTGGGTGAAACCACGCATGTTTGGGTCTGGCATCCGTACTCTTCTACTATTCAGTTACTATTCCTTCTGTAGGCCATGTAAGTTCAGCAGTACTGAGACAGAAAGAAGGTACAACAAGCAGAGCCCGGTTTAGGCAAGCTATTCTGGAGCACATGACCTAAGAGGCTTTAGAGACACAGAGATTGTTCAATGAGGAAAGGCCTCGCAAGGGTTGAACATGTGGACCCTCCAAACCGCTCAAAAAGGGAGCGGCGTATGGGTGTGGACTAGGGCGACCCCCTGGGCCCAAGGGGTTTTGCAGCTTTGGACCTTCTTTGGACAAAACAACGTTGTTTTGTCTTACCACAATAGTAATGACGTTCTGATTACCCGGGGGGGTTGGGTGAGGTGTCAACTGATGTTGGTTTGATGAAAAAACATCAATCCTCGTTTCATGCACTTCATTTTCATCTTTGTTTCCTGAACACGTGCATGTTGCACCTGATTCGATCTTCATTCTCATCTTCGTTTCATAGCTTCATTTTCATGAACTTCTTTTTCATCACCGGTTCATGCACTGCGTCTTCATCTTCGTTTCATTAACTTGATCTTGATTTTCGCTTTATGAGCTTCATCTTCTTTTTGTTTCATGAACCAATGATGCTCATTGATCATCATCATGATCATTATGATGATGATGATCATCATCATCATCTTCTTCTTCTTCTGTCATCAAATGTGGTTTAATGATGCTGAGAGCAGCTGGAAACTTGTGCGTCACGATGCCCGCTTGAAAACTATTGTGGTCCTTTGCAACTGGCATGCCGGCCAGTTGCGGCATTCATGCCGCACACGAAGCACTTCTGGACTCCTGGACCCCATGCAGTGCAAAAACACATAGGGGCCATAAACACCGTTGACAGCCATGCTTTTTCCAGGGAGTGTAGAAAAATGGGGTCTCCCTGTTTCGATACATGCCTGTTTGTTCATCGGTAAGTGTCCAGACACTCTCCCCATGAGAGTTGCCTGGACACAACCATTGGACCTGGTTGTTCAGGAGTATTCAAATTGCTACATGTTATGGCCAGCATGGTCCACTTGACACGGTCCACTCTGGTCACCATTGGTTGCAAGCCCTGATGATGATTGACCAACATTTCCACAGTGATCATGACCACTGTTCCAGCAACCTCATCATCTTCATCCCTCAATCTACTTCAGGGAAATTGGGAGAGTTGTGCCGACCATCTATGGAGTTTACACCGATTCCA